ATTTTCTTTTGAACGACCTCGTGAGATGAGAGTGTGCTATGTAGTTTTCCACCAGATCCGTAGATGTAGAATACAAATTTCATGAACTCACGTTCGTTCCCAATTTTTCCCATTGCCAAGTCTTTCAACTCTCTTTTGTGACCGTCGATCTCACTAAGTACTTTATCTTCCCAGCCCTCTGCTTTGTCTCGATAAAGTGACATGCACATCACAAGAATGTTTACGTCTGCCATGCTCTCTTCCCTTCTATTATTAGTTGCTCTTTCCCTTTATAAATGAATGACTCAATTCCTAACTAAGAGTTTCGGATTAGCTGCTAATGAACTAACGCTAAGTTTTTCAACGGTTGAACTATCATGATAAAAAATTTGCTGGGAGGAGAGTGCAAATGACTATATAAACGTTTGCAACCAATAGTAGTCTACAGTCGAGTTAGAAAGTCGTATCCCCTTATTTACAATTCATCATTGACAGGTTACCCAAAACTTCTACTTGTGTATAGAGGAGTAACATTCAAGCACAAACACATGCAGTCTCTTTGCAGGCCAGGGATATCACCGATATTTTTCCCTACACCAGATCCAGATGAAACCCGGAAACCTACTTCTACAGGGTGTGGTTGGGGACAGTCCCTGACTGTACACAATGGCGGACCACGAGCCCTGTTCGAACGTGATTATGCGAAACAGAATGTGGTGGTCCCTGTAGGTGCATAAGACGAGTATTGCCCGAAGAAACCTCTAGGTCGTTCTCGTTATAAAATTGTACCTCGCACTAATAAGGAGGATCCCATCTCAACTGCCATAATAAAGGTCAACGACTCAAGGTAACAGTTATCCCAGCCAAGTAGTTCGGGGCTCCCGAGTTTCTTCAGCTCCCCTATGCACTCTCGGTAAAATGTTTGTCAGAACCTAAGCCTGATTATTACAGAACTTAAGGGGCACTAGCAAGCAACACACAAAACGCTCACCTGATGTCCATAGTATGCTGACTAAAGAAGACCTACTGTTTTTCATCATACAAAGGTCTCATCCGCTTCCTAAATTGACGACCCTTTGGATTAAAATCATCTGAAATTGGTAAAAAACACAATCTAAGTCGGCAACCTATTGTTTACCACATTGCATACTAGGACATCGAACTGTCTCTCTCACCTGATGTTCATAGTAGACTCACTAAACAAGACCTATTGTTTTTCATCATACACAAGTCTTGTTTGCTTCGTGAACTAACGACCCTTTGGACAAAAATCATCTGAAATTGGCCAAGAACACAATGCGAGCCGGCAGCCTATTGTTTACTATATTGCATAGGACATCGAATTGTCTATACAAAACGAAGTTTAAATAGGCGAAGCCGATAATTAACCAATTACAAAAACTACCGTTTATCATTCGAACTATCGTTTATCATCCGAACTATCGTTTATGATTCGAACATGGATGCGTCACACACTGAGCTGAAAGACCATGGTTAGGTCACTCATTCACCCATAAGGCAATCAGTTATAACGACCCTTTTTCCATTACTAGTGGTTTCACTATGGGACATCCCTGTAATCCTTTCAACCTCGAACTTTTGTCAGCGAGAGCTACCCGAGTAGCAAAGAGTGCTTATTTGTAAACCTTCATGCAAAATTTTGTGTTATAGGATGTTTCACGAGGACTATGCAGTATTAACCCAGTTATTTCCATCTCGATTATAACTTTTATTAGTTTCTGTCAACAAGTTACTTAACCAGAAGGTATGCCACCCTCTTCAGCAACCCTTTTCTGCTCATTATAACTGCTAATATGAAACTGAGATACTAACCGATTTATTCTTCACACAACCTTTTGTTTCCACTCACGTTCATCCCTTTGCCTCTACTAGCTTCATACTCCATTATTTTCACTGAAGGCCAATAAGACGAGAGCTTAATCAACATCTCCTCACTAGAAGGTGCTACTAAGCTCGCCTGATATGATCTAAAGAGCTAGGTCATAAGAGAATGCATGAGCAACAAGTACAACAACACACAAGAACTCTATTTTTAAGGGAAAGATTCGGATGTTGTTGATAAGAAGACTTCAGAAACCTACAAACAGAGACCTTACGGGAGGTAGTGAGATTAAGGTTAACTTCACATTATAGCAGCAGGGGTCAAACCAAAAAAAAATAATCCATGCCGATCACGTCATAGGCCAGTTGATTTAACAATACCCATACATCTTACCAAGAAGATGGTTCAGTCTGTTAAGAAATAGCCGGACAGCGAAAGGTTTGCGCCTGAATGGAAAACACTTAGCTAGACAGACGACTCAGACTTTACCTTTGAAAAAATGATTATTATACTTGGAATAAGTGAATCTCCGCAACTAGGGAAATTACGCCATACCAGGGTGGGTCACCGAGAATAGTAATCAATATTCAACACCCAATTCTACTTTTTCAATGCTGTATTACTTCCGCAGTAGGGACGAAGAACCAGTAACCTCAAACGAAGGAGAATTCTCTGGCCCACTTCTTCAAAAGACGAGAAAATCACATATTTCGCAATATCAAGAAAGAAAATGATCGTTTGTTATCATATCTCGTTAGAGTTGTGTTGACCCCAGTGGGTGTGTTCTGTCACTTCCTTCTGCGCAACTTTAAAAAAAGTCACCGTATGATGGTCTCAATGACACCACTTGAGCCAGCGAATTGTTCACTACTCGTTAACTCTCATCATTTGGCTTGATTGTCTGTTGTTCCTTCTGCAGTCTGCCTCTTCGTGGAAGAATTGCCTGCATCACTGACACTTCATCGTCGTTGAGCACGCTAGTTTCGCTTCCAGGAGGTATCCCGTTGATGTTTTAACTCGTATCTTGTCTTTCATGTTCCCTCTTGCATCTGGATCGATGTCGAACCTTGCGTTTACCAGCGCTGGCCTCAGTGGGTCCGCGTCCAGTGGGTGTGCCTGAATGATGCGACCAATCGCCATCTCCACTTGAGAGTAAATGAAAGGCATATCGTCCAGTGGTATTTGGACTGCCACCACCTAGAATGTTCTTTCGTCATCTTGTCTCTCAACTTTCTAAACTCCGCTCTAGTCATCCACTGTTTGAACAGCACCTTGTATGTGTTTGTTCCCACCAGGACGTTGACTCCTCCCTCGTCAATCATATACTCAGCGACTTGTCTTGACTTCGCCACGTACGATAAAGCATTTGGGCCTTCGATCTTAACTCTGCCTCTCCTATCTTCTGCTGGGAAGCGCTCGGCTCCGATTATCCACCCGTCTTCAAAGGCTCTGATGGTATCATCTTAGACTTTTTTCGGGAGAAACCGTGCGTTATCTTTAAATATAACGGACACGGTTCTTTCCTTCAACCACCTCACCTTTATTGTATCGAGTGATGTATTCAAAGTGAACGTGACTTTCCTCTCCTCTGTTGTCATTTCCCCTAGGTCTAAGTCCGTAGGGTACACCCCATCGTCGAGCAGAGTGCTAGCAACGATCGGATGCGGTCTTTGTCTTCCCAGTGTTCTTGTTCCTCTATTGGTCCTGGTGGTGGTGATCTCCCATTTGTGGCAATCTCTCCTCCTTCTTCTCCTTCCTCCATACTGCCTCTCTACTTTCCTCCTGTCTCCTCTATTCCGCGTTTCTTCAAGTCTATTGGCTTATTCTCGGCCCCTTCTTCTCTGCCGTGATACCTTAACTGCTATTCTACTCCGTGGGCGTGTGTCAGGCGGTCAACCCGAAACTCGGCTATGGACAGTGAGTGCCCCACCGCTTTCGCCGCTTCGCACCGTGTGAGCGAGGAAGACGTCGGGATTTCCGAGGCGCTATCTCGGTGATAGCGGCTTGGTAGACCGTAAGGTTGCGTAGCAACCCGGTAGCGCAGGGCTGAGCGCTTAGCGCCGGCCGTAGCGCTCCTCCCACGTCAGTCTCGCCCTTTTTATATGCGTGTCATCCTTGCGCAGGGGCCATGCTAATCTTCTCTGTATCGTTCCAATTTTAACGGGTCCCGAAGGACAAATTCACCTTCTCACCGGGGACGATCATCCCCACGTTTCTGGAGAAACTTCAGTTCCGGCGCGTTGTGCGGCAGGCCCACGCTCCTGGAAGCGGAGTACTCGCCAAAATGCAGTACTCTCCGAAGGCCCGTCCAGCTCGCTGCGGCGTTTGCCCTGCAGCGCGCACTGGGCGACCAGATTCAGGGCGTGGTTGCACCACTCGCCATCCGCCAAGGTTTTGTATGCATCCGGTCATATTTCAGTTTCCATTTCATTCCAAATGTTGGCGAATGGCGAGTGGTGCAACTGCGGCCTCACCCGCGGAATTGGTGAGGGCAAACTTCCAAGCCGGTACGGGAAGTGCACTCACCCTTCTTTCCTTTTTTTCCCTTTTCCACTCACCCATTTGGGTGCTGCAGGAGGGGTAAGCGGGGAGTTTTTTGGGAGTATGTGGTAAGCGGCAAACTCCCGTTTGTCGCTTATTTGGTCGATCGTGTTCCCCCGGGGTGAGTTATGTGCGGCGGCGATGCTCTCCTCCTACGTGGCGAGCCTTTTGGTCTTCCCTTGTCCGTTCAGTTCAGGAAAGTCATGCCCTGGACGCCGTGCCTACTCCAACGTGGCCTCCGTCTCTCCTCCCCGCTGCTGCGCCTCGCTCGCTTTGCCCCATCTCTGGCAACCCCTTCGAAGGGGTGTAGTCGTAGGGGGGAAATCAACCCAGAGCAGAACCGACAGAATCCAGACGACGACGGTCGAGCGGTGGTTGGGCGCGGTGGTTTTCAGCAGGAAATTTCAGATTCACAACAAAGAATTCGGATTCGGAAAGGAAGGTCGCGCAGTGGCCTGCCGGAAGAGGCGGGGKATCGAAACCGTGTAGGCTACCGCCGTAGGCACGTACTACCTTAGGCGCATGGCGAGGGGACGAGGCGGTGGCGGTACGTCCTGACGAGGCCAAGCACCGCCGCATAGGGCGCTTGCTTGTTGGTGACGGTGGTTGCGGACGGCGGGCTCCGCGTGGGCGGAGGGGTTAGGGAAAGGGCGAGTTCGGTTGACCGGTGTTGGAGTTGGAGAGGGGACTTAGAGAGGAGGAAGGGAGAGGGGAGTCAGGGAGTTAGAAGAGGCGAGAGGTTAGGTGGGGAGGGGGGGAAGAAGGAGAAGAGCAGGTGGGAGAGGAGGGCGACGAAGAGGAGGAAAAGCGGTTGGCTGGCGGCGGTGAAGATTGGCAATGCCGCTTGTGCTGGTGGATGGGAGTCTAGCAGTCATCGCCAGCAGCGTTGGGCCGCTTATTCCCGGGTTTTCCGCCAACGGAAGGGGGGGTGGAAACGTAGAGGGAGAGGGAGGAGGAGGAGGAGGAGGAGGAGGTGGGGGGGGAAAGGAACAGCACCAGCTGCCGCAGCAGTATCAGCTGTCCGACGCAGCCCACTGGTTTCCCGGGCGGCTACGTAATGGTTGTTACTCCCGTCCGATCGTGCGGTGTCCGTGTCGATTTTTGTTCCCTGGTGCCGCGCCCACGTGGCGTGTTTTCCCTCCACGTCATCAAAGGAATAAAGTTAATCTCTCTCCCCCCTCCTTTCGGCTCGGTAGTTCGCGGCGTCGGATTATGACTGAGCACTATCATGCCACTTGTAGCGCGCTGCCAACTCCGCTGCCCGCCTCCTTATCATCAAGCGTAGTGAATTCCACTCACGCAGACGGCAAGAAATTCTCGTCGCCGCCGACCTGTTCTTTGTCCTTGTGTCTCCCATCCCCTCGCGTCCCTCTTCCACGACCTCTCCCTCTTCCTCCTCCTCCTGCCTCTCCTGCGTGTCATCCTGATCCTTGTGGTTGTGATCTTTCTCGGGGGGTCAGAAGAGTGGCCGAGTGTTGCCATCATCAGTCGGTCGGGGCAGTCACGGACGTGCGGCGGCTGTCCTCTTGCAGGTCGGTAGACACGTCAGCAGGGAGTGCTCAAAAGTCATCCACGTGGACAAGGAGGCTAACGAGGATACCGACAGAATCGTTAAACGGCGAGGGGCACCGCATCCGCCGGCGGCGGGAGTATAAGAGGATGGAGGGAGCGGGGGGAGGAGGGGACAACGGGTTGGCGGGGTGTGGGGGGGGGGGAGAGTTCTGCTCGAGTGGCAATTTCTGCGGCGCGGGCGATGGGCGGCGACCCTGGGTGTGGGGCCCGCTAAGAAGCCACGTGGCGGAGATGTGCGCGCGGTCGGACGATTTTCTGTTGACGTCTCATCCGGCGGTGTCGAGCTGCCGCGTCAGCAATCGAGCCACAATGCGCACGCAGGATGAGGCGCGGCTATGGACCGCAAGCGGGGAGGATGTGGGGGTTATTGCTGGGGAGGAAGATGGTGAGGAGGGGTTAGACGACGAGAGAGAGCAAGGTGGGCGGTTCGAGTCCCGGCAGAGAGCGCGCCAAGCATGGATTGAAGCGACCATGGGGCGTGACGTGGACGTCGTGACTCTAGGCAATTTGATGGTCGACGTGGTACTCCACGTGGACACGCTCCCGCCCTCGAAGGGGATTCCGCGCAAGGACTACATGGCACGCCTTTCCGTCTCTCCGCCCGGGGAAGACCACTGGGAGGCGGGAGGGAACAGCAATTTCGCCATCGCCGCCTCTCGAATCGGACTCGACTGCGTGACTGTAGGCCACGTCGGCGACGAGATGTTTGGCCACTTTCTGGAGAAGGTCCTGCACAAGGAGAGAGTGGGTTTGATTGGTCTAGAGAGCCATTTGGCGGAGGACCTGGGAGATGAAGACTACGATGGGGAGACGCTCCTCTGCTGGGTCCTGATTGACCCGAATAGGCGGCACTCGTTTTGCAGCCGCTTCGACTTCTCGAAAACGCCTGTCTTCAGCAAAGTGCGGAATTTGCCCCTTCCTGCGCAGAACCTGATTCGCAGGTCCAAAGGCCTGTTCGTCAACGGCTTCGCCTTTGACGAGTTTGAGCCCGGCGTGGTCCTCGAGGTGGTGGAATTCGCGAGGTCCACGGGGACTGCTGTCTTCTTCGATCCTGGGCCCCGGGGGAAGATGATGATGGGGGATAAGGAGGGCGGGAAGAGATTGACCCTGGAGAAGATGTTGCGGCGGAGCACCGTCTTGCTGCTGACCTCTGACGAGGCCGAGGCCATTACTGGTGTGTGTGATCCGTTGCAGGCGGGCAAGGCTCTGTTGGAGCGCGGCGGGGGCGAGCTTGAGTGGGTGGTTGTGAAGCGGGGGTCGAAAGGCTGCGTGCTGTCGACGCGGGAGAAGACGTACGTGCTCGAAGGCATAAAGGTGGAGGTGGTGGACACTGTCGGGTGCGGAGACAGCTTCGCGGCAGCCATTGTGCTCGGTTACATCCGCGGGGAGAAGTTGTCGACGACGCTTGCGCTGGCAAACGCAGTCGGCGCTGCGACGGCGATGGGAAGAGGGGCGGGGCGGAATGTGGCGCGAGCAAGCCAGATCGTGGAGTTGCTGAGCAATGCCCGGCGTAGGCGCGGGCATGACTCGTCGGCCTTGCTGCGGAACGGGATGGTCGTCGGGGCGGAAGAAGAAGAAGAAGAAGAAGAGCAGCAGAAGGCGCGGGAAAAAGAGGTGATTGGTATGATTGATTGGATGAAAGAGTACCTCGTTGCCAAAGAGGAGGGAAGGTTGGGACAACAGACGACGAGTAGGTTCTCTGAGTCGACCGCCGAGCCTTGTGTGGCTGATGCAGATGCGGTTGCTGGTCATGCAACTGTCAATGGGGTCGGAGGGGAGGTCATGGTTGGTGCTGCGTCTTTGGCGGCGGCGGCGGCGGCGGATGGTGATGAAGGTCGGACCGTTCTCCCTGGGACGCTCGATGAGGTAAGGAGGAATGGACGTGCTGGTGGTGCGGGGGAGGCGGACTTATCGGCGGCTACCCGGCCTTCCGCAAACGAGGCCGAAGCTGCGTTTTCGGTCGGGATCCCTGCTGTCAGGGAGAAGTTGGAGAATCGCGTCAGGGTATTGTCGGGGACAGTGACCGTGTCTCTGGAAGATACCGCAGTGGATGCAATCAATCTTCTCAAGAGGTCGTTGAAAATCTCCATTCAGAGATGATGATCATATCAAATACTGCCTTCTTTCTCTCGCTCTGAGATGTGAATTGCATTGCTGCCTTCTTTCCTTATTTGGTCTGTTCTTCTTTCCTCTATCTTTCGTTTTTTCCATCTCTCTTTCCTCTCCTCTTCCTCCTCCCCGACTCTTTCCAGATACGCTGTAATCAAGGACAGGACATGCCCTTTGTACTTGATTCTTTCATGGGTCCTCATCTTCTTCCTTTTTTTTTCCCTATTCCTTTTTTTTTTTCCTTTTTCTTTTTCTTCTTGTTTTTAGTGTTGACGGCGACAGATATTATTAGGGGATATGAAGTGGGTCGTGTATTGTGTGGACAGTCATCTATCTTGCTCTAGGAAGTCCTAGGGACCCGATATTATGTTGACGGCGACAGATATTATTAGGGGAAACAAGTTGATCCTCCCCATCTTGTCTCTGTCCTCAATCTCCCACTTCGGTTTGTCCCGTCTGTTGTTCTGATGATTTTATGTTGATTTTTCTTTGTTTCTTGAAATTGTTGTTCAACTAACGAAATGAAGTTTCGGATGGCGTTTTCCTTTTTTCTTTATGAGGTCACAGGCCTCTATTTCTTCTTAACCCTCGCTGCACCGACGTCCGTGCCTGCCCCTCGTTTGTCCACCTTTCGGTCGCGACTCGGCCCCCGGACCCCGGAACCCGACCCCGACCCGAACCCAGCCCCGCCATCCCCTCCTCGTTTCATGCATCTCGGTGGAGCATCAGGAAAAGTCGGGATCGGGATGTGCATTAGGAGGGTTGCATTCGATTGTCTCATGGCCGTTGTCTCACTCAGATTGTCTCTTTTTTTTTTTTCTTCATGCCCTCAGTTTTTTACGTCGTTGTTTTCTGTCGTGTCTTCTCGCCTTTCGTTTTTTGGTATAAAGGAAAGGAGGTTAAGCACACATCACATGGTGTGCTTATGTTCTCCTGCCATCTTCGTCCGTCTTGCCTGGGTTCCTCTTCGTCTTCTGGCGCTGGTCAGGACATTTTTTTCCCTCTTACTTACCGTCTTCTTCAGTCTTTTGCCTGGGGGTTTTCTTCCTCTGCCGCTGGTCGGGACCCGCTTTCTCTCTTCAAGGAGCAGTACATCCGTGCCTCCTTTGTACGAGCGAGCTGGATTCCTACTGCGCGCCGAGCTTCTGACTGCGGCCTACTGGTGGTTTAAGACCGATTTTCGTTCTCTAAAAACAAGTTCCTTTCATACGCCCCGTGTTTGCCTCCTCCCTCCCTTCACCCCCGTCCTCGCCTCCCCCCCTCCTTCCCCCCCCTTCCTCCTGCTTCTTTGTGGTGTCCGGTGTCAGCAGACGTTTTCGGTGTGTGATCGCAGACTTTCGTGATGGTGGGGTGTGCCTTCTGTTTTTTTGGCAGGCTTTTGTTTCTTTGTGTTTTTTTTTTTTTTTTTGTTTCGTTGTCCTTTTCTCTCCTTCAAATGGCTTCGTTTGGGGCCCAGAATCTGGTGGGGTGTGCGTTTGGTCGTCCTATTTTAAGAGAGGGTCGTTTGGGGCCCAGAATAGAATATGGTGGGGTGTGCGTTTGGTCGTCCTATTTTTTCAGAGAGGCACACGGACTATTTGTAGAGATGCGCACGGACTATTTTTACTTGTATGGGTCTCAGTGCCTGCCTCCCCGTGATCCACTTCCTGTGTCCTTGCTCTTTTCTCTGACATTGATTGAATTTTAAGTGAAGCCCACTGCTCAGACCCATTTCTAGAGCAGTGTTATTATTTGTTAATGTTGAGAAGTGTTGCTTCCCCCGCCCCCCCCTTTATCATCCAATGCGGTTCTGTCTTGCTGTAGTACATTGGTTCTGTTCTCGAAAGGACGATTCGAAGTGCGGGTTACCTCAGCCATGTTGCGACTTCAAGAGAGAGACTCTGAGGGAAAGAGAGGTACATTGCTTCTGTTCTCGGATAAACCATAGTGACCTCAGCCATGATGTTGCAACTTCAAGAGAGAGACTGAGGGAAAGAGAGGTACATTGTTTCTGTTCTCGGATAAACCATACTGAAGACTGAGTTACCTCAGCCATGATGTTGCAACTTCAAAAACAAAAAAGAGGAGAGAGAGAGAGAGAGAGAGAGAGAGAGAGAGAGAGAGAGAGAGGGCACATTGTTTGTTCTCGAATAAACGATCCTGAAGTAGATTTACCTTAGCCATTTTGCGACTTCAAGAGAGAGAGAGAGAGGGAGAGAGAGAGAGAGGTACATTGTCTGTTGCTGCTTCGAATCCTTCTGGAGGAGGGAGAAAAGGCGAGGGAAAAGGTCACACAAACACACACACAGAGAGAGAGAGAGAGAGAGAGAGAGAGAGAGAGAGAGAGAGAGAGAGAGAGAGAGAGAGAGAGGTACATTGTCTGTTGCTGCTTCGAATCCTTGTCTGGAGGAGGGAGAAAAGGCGAGGGGAATGGTCAGAGAGAGAGAGAGAGAGAGAGAGAGAGAGAGAGAGAGAGAGAGAGAGAGAGAGAGAGAGAGAGAGAGAGAGAGAGTGCGAAGCTGGTACGGAGTACTACAAACTGACTGTTGTTACAGGTATCGGAATTCCTCAGTCTGCATATCAGCCTTCGATTTTCTCTTAGTTATTGGGAAGGAGAAGCAGCGCAAGAGTGCACGGAACTGTGTGCATGTGTGCCAGTGCGCATAGCAAATGTGCATCAAGTTGTAAGCTTTTTTTCTGTTCCTTTCTTTCTTTTAAGTGCGACGGCCTCGAGATATCAGCTCATTCGGACTGATCGGCCCCAGGTAATTCCGAGTTGTTTCAGTATTCTCCTTCCTTCATCAGGATTCGACCTCAGGTCTCTATCAACTGCAACATGGGCGTATCATTCAGCCACATGGGGTGGGTGGACAAGCATTGCGTACACGGGATGCTGAAGAAAGCTTCTTATAGTCGGGTAGCGGCTGACCTTTCTTTTATCCTTGTGATGTGATCAGGATTCGAACTCACGATCTGCTCACCAAGAGTTACATGTGTATACCACTCAACCACCTATGCTGGTTTTCTGCTGAAGCCTTATGGATGTGTATGTGGAAGGCTGTCTTGCTATCAATTGTATAATGACAACATCGGTAAGGGAAACGCTTATCAACAGCCCGTGACGGTTCCGAGGGGATGAAACTAACCAAACTAACCGGGTCATCAGGATTCGAACTCACAATCGGTTCACCAAGATTTCATGTGTATACCATTCAACCACATCAGAAGGCACCTCAACGCAGGCACTTCAGTTCATGATCTGCACACGGATGTGCAATGCCGAAGTTCACATGGATGTGCAATGCCCATGTTCATTCTTGCAGGGCAGTCTGTCTCTCTGTCTCTCTGTCTCTCTGTCTCTGTGTCTCTGTCTCTGTCTCTGTCTCTGTCTCTCTGTCTCTCTGTCGCTCTCTCTCTCCGTCTCTCCGTCTCTCCGTCTCTCTGTCTCTCCGTCTCTCTGTCTCTCTGTCTCTCCGTCTCTCCGTCTCTCCGTCTCTCTGTCTCTGTCTGTCTGTCTGCTCTGTGACTGTCTGTCTGTCTGTCATGACTGACAGGCTAGAAACAGATGTTTTTTTTTTTTGTTTTTGTTTCTTTTCATTGGAGGGGTGGGGTGGGGTGGGGTGGGTTGGGGGAGAAACAGATGTTTGCAAGCAATCCAGTGGCCTGGCGCGGTAAGGCATGCGAGTGGCATTCAGGAGGTCTTGGGTTTAATGCCCATAGGCCTCATTTATCTTCCTGAGCAAGCTTGACGCTCGCCACCTAGAGAGATGCTGATGGTCCCCCCGAGTGGCATTGAGCAGAGACTGCTGATGTTCATAGGGGGAGGGGACAGGAGTGGAGGCACATTGACTGGATGGAAGAAGCTCGGTCCTGATGCTACCGACTGACCCCTGCCCGGTATCACCCTCTTGCTATAGCAGGTTTTGCACCTGCTGGTGGGTGCAGCTCCCGTGTGTTCCCTCGTTGGAGGCTCGAGCACGGATGTGGCTGCTACGGGGTTCCCCGTTATACTACAATGACAAGCAAAACGACCTGAAAGGCCGTCCTGTCCAGATTTGACAGGTAATTGAATTGGTCGGGCTTTTAACGAATTAGCCTTTTCAAACAAAACAATACAAAAACAAACAGAAAGAGATGTTTGCCAGCAAGGGAGTGGTCGCGACCGATCGAACCACAGTGGAACAGGAAGGCACTGTAACAGTTGCTTCGTTCTGCGAAAACGCCGAGAAGTGTTGCCGAGTCGCCTCTGCACGAGTGAGGATCGAGTGAGGAGGATCGCCGAAACAATAGAGAAAACATGGCCATGTCTTGTCCACAGTCAGCATTGATTTTATTCTGGTTTTTTTTTTTTTTCCCTCTATTCTTCAGAAGGGCGATGACCCTGAGGTATCATCATTGAACTGACCAGCCCCAGGCAAACTGTAAAGTATTTTCTTGGGTTGCATATTATTGCATCTGGATACGAAGTTGGGTCTGTATTTCAACAGTGCATAGGTGTACCAACTGAGCTAGTAGTGTACCCATTGGTACAATCCACATTATTCTTCTTTATTTATTTATTTTTACAAGATGAGTGTCTCAGGTCATCCTTCGGGATCTGTTGTGCGGGAAAGTGTACGACCTACAGAACCGATCCTGTTCACGTACGACAGTCAGACCACCTTGCTGTGAAGGTGTTCACGTACAATCTACCTACCATCTTCACTGGAATAAAAGGCCCGGTTGTTATCGCTGCACCTGGACTGGAAAGTGCACCAAATACGGCTATCATGACAGGGCATTATATTCGGGTGAAGATGGTAGATGGCCCTGGGGCTGGAAGGCTGTTCTCTTCTTGTTCATGTCAGAAAAGCAGTACCCGCTACACAGACTGTGCTTTGAAAAATTGCAAAGCGAGTTTATTCTCCCCGTGGAGGGAGGTGGTCTTCTGGTGCAACTGGGCCTGAAGAAGCATTCACGAACGGGAGAGATGCACGAATCGAGGGGCACAAAGTAGTCCAGCAATCATATATAGACTATATCCAAAATGTAATCATGAATGAGTGTAACTCAATTGTTGTTGTTTTTTTGCTTTTTAAAATGGTGATAGCCTTGAGACATCATCATTGAATGACCGGTCTTCCAGGTAAATCGAAGCGATTCTGTTCTGGTCGGGATCCGAACTTGGGTCTGTATTTCAACAGTTCATGGGTGTACCAACTGAGCCAGGCGCGATGGTACAACTCCATGTTCAAGAAGACCAAACTTCATCAAACTCCCTCTCTTTTTTTTTTCTTTTTTTTTTTTTTCCGTTTTTTCTTTCAATGTTGCCTGATGGACCACGGATCAGACGCTTAACCACTCGTACACGGCCCCAGCCTTGCAGTCCGAAACTGGTCGCTACAAAATAACGAGGGCGAACACTCGTACACGGCCCCAGCCTTGCAGTCCGAAACTGGTCGCTACGAAATAACGAGGGCGAAATGTCGAACGCTGCTGGGCGATACATTGGGATCGGTGGTCGCATTTTCATTCCATGCTTCCAGAAGTCGAGGCCGGGGTGTCAGGCCCGCGGCCCAGGTGCCCATGTTCTGGTGTTCTTAATTGATCAGATAACAGATACTACAGTTCATCTTAGCCAAAAGGCCGAGAAAGATATTTATTATTATTTGAGTAAGATAAGATCAATCTTCTTAATGATGCTACAGACATTTAAGTGGAAAAGTAAAACCGCTAGTGTACGTCGGGGGGGGGGGGGGGGGGGGG